GTTGTTGGAGTCGTTAGTAAAAGGCTCGCCATTCTCAAAGGTGCCCACCACTGCACCAATCCGAGGCACACGTTGACTGCGTAGATGAGGAAGTAGCGCAGGAAGCACTGCGGGGGGGCGGGCCGCCCGCGCCTGCTCAAAGCGGGGACGCTCCCCTGGCAGCATGCGAGAGGCATTGGCTAGCCAGCCCAATTGCCGTAGGTGTTGTACGCCACGCCGCCGTAACTGACTGATCCTCGAGTTGTTGCGAGCCGGCCATTGTTCAGAGAGAGAGAGAGAGAGAGAGAGAGAGAGAGAGGGAGAGAGAGAGAGAGAGACGTACTGCTTCCCTAGTCTGGGCGCCGTCGTACCACCCACGAAGACAGATCTCAGTGGCAACCTCCCAGCGCACAGCTTGACCAGAGGCGACACCTGCAGGGCAGCGCAGCAGGTCACGAAACCCGCGATACCTCAATACATCCATAACATACTCCACACACCAGTCCATCCATTGTTGGATATCACTACCTGTCGAGTCGACCACGAGAGAAGGAACCCATTGCTGCGCCCAAGCTGCAACCCGATCAACCAAAGCACGATGCATCGCATGGGCCTGACGGCGGTCAGCAGGCAATGTCGGATGTCCAGCACGTTGAAAAGGCACAGTACCAGCGACCAAACTCGACGTGCACCTTGACGAGGCAGGGGCTGTGTCCACTCGCTCCCAGGAAGAAGTCTCCAGAACTCTTTGCAGGGGGTTCCATTGTCTTAGAAACATATGCTCATGCCCACGATGTTCGATGGCCATTTGTCGAAGCCCTTCGTTGTCCTGGGGCCCTGTCAAATGCCTCAATAGCCGCTCCCTGGAGTGCACCGTGTTGCACCAAGATACATGAACGATGCAGACCCCAAGTTCGTAACGGCGCCAATGATCCGCCTGCGGCTCAGGAAACACACCCTGAAAGATCCTGAACTCCAATCTGCAAACAACCTGATTCGAACACCACACCATCCAGTCGTCGAAGTCCGATCGCGTGACGTCCTGCATGAAGACAGAGGGTGTCCAGTTACGCGCCCACGATGCAGAACGACGCTCAAGCGCAGCAAGAAGACTCTCCATGCCATGGTAGACCCCAACTAGAGGCGGGAGACCAAATTGACGTTCCCCGACAGCTTGTGGGTAGCGAACACGATGAGGCAACCGATCATGAAGTATAGCCTGACCCATCGGTAAAACCCGAAGGAGCGCATCAGGGAGCGGCAGTTCACCGATAACCGACTTCATGCCTTGGGCCGATGGAGCAGCAGGCGCCGACATAGGAGCAGCGCGCGGAAAGACTGGCGAAGCCGTCCACCCAGCATGCAGTTTGGCTAGCGCACGAGCACGCAGAGCACCACGAGCTGCAGTGAGGAGAGCATCAGGAGGGACGTAATCAAGATGCCGCACCTCATGATAAATGACTGTGGCTAACTGCATGTTGATCAAGTTGTCGTCACTGGGCTCGCTAAGCCCCCACCGCACCAGGACTGGACCAGGTAGGAAGCGACGTCCTCCAGACTTCGCCATCGCAATGCCCCAGGCAAGACCACGGCACTGTAGGTAATGTCCAATCTCGTCCTGATAGCCTTCACAGCCGAAGATGCACTTTCTTTGCCCCAAAGAGGACGAGATGCGTGAGGAGGTGAGCCAGCCACCCGCGAAACCTCGGAAGATCGAGGATGCCCATGCCATAGGGTATCTGCGAAGCCTTTTGCGCAACCGAGTCCAATCAATCTTGTCTAACTGCGTCGCCAAGGACGGAAACCACTTGTTCCACCGTCTAGAAATGGTAGCGACCAAGGGCGATGTCTCGTTCCCAGGAGTGCAGAATCTGGACAAGAAGGCGGCCATGCTGGCATTCTATGCTACACGTTGGACTCCTTTAGCCGCAGCGTGATGTTCAGCCAGAAGCGCCCGAGAAGCCACTGCCGCAGGCGAGGAGGATGAGCACGCAGCGTCCAGCGTCTCCACAATGGCGGGCATGACCCAGAAAGAGGGGGAGAGGCGGCCAGTGAGGTCGATCAATCGACGATGATCAAACCACCGCTCCGACGCACGCCGAAGAAAACGAAGATAGTCCTTGTGCTCAGGATGTGTGGAAAGCCCAGACCGAATGAGCGCAGCCTCTGCCATCGAGACGATATTGTGTAGCTTCGGCCCGCCCCAATCCTTCAGCGCAAAGAAATCGACCAGCCGCAGCGCACCTCCAGGGAAGCGGAGAAGGCGAACCAGAACATTAATGTCGAACTTGCGGATGGCTTCAGGGAGAGCGAAGAATTGTGCAACATAACTCAGCGTCGGTACTGCACGAATCACGTAGTTCAGAGCATTCAGCGACAGCGGCGCAGACGAAGCAGCCAACGCACCGACGCGCATCTTGTATTTGGCCCATGGTCCATTCCACGAGCTCATAGGTATTGCAGCAGGCCCGAGCCAGACACCCAAGTACAGCAAGCTAGCCTCCACTTTGAATGCCGCCCATCCAGGAACATGCTGATGAAGATAATCTAGCGTCTTAGCCTGGATGGTCTCAGAGAAGGTGCCGGCGAGGGGCACCAGAACACACTTGGGAGGTTTCAGTTTGAGATTGGCCAACTTCTCTGCTACCGCCATCGCCCGGGCCAAAAATTTAAGGTCTAGCATATCAAAGACAACGCCCCCAATGTCGTCGGCACACGCACGAAAGACACCACGAGCTGAAACTTCAATGCCACGCCTGATCTCTTCCAAGAATGGTGACGTAGCCGCTGCAAACGGGCTGCCACTCAGCGCACATCCCTGAATAATTACACAAAAGATACGGAAAAGCGGCTTGGTTATCCCATCAACACGCCCGACAGCAGTCACAACTGAGTACAAGCCGCGAATAGCAGCATGCAGCCCGCGCGGAAGGCAAAGACGATTCAAGACAGCAAAGAGAAACTCTTGACTCAAGGACGGGAATGCCTGGCCGAAATCGAGCGCGACGAGCAACGGGTTCCGCTTGAGCACCGCGGGCTGCAGTGATGCAACCCGTGCCATCATGTCTAGCTCCAGGATGTTGGAAGTAAACTGACGTCCTGCAATGAAGCCTCTCTGCGAGGCTGACGCCGTCCTCTGTATGATAGGTGCAATGGCCTGATTGAAGGTGGCCGAAATGACCTTCATGTCAGTGTTTCGCAGCCCGAGTGTCCTCACTGTATCAGGAGTACGCATAACTCTTCTGCTGTCATCATCTCCCACTTGACTACCTTTGGGAAGAAAAGCCTGAAGCGTGTCACCAGTGCTGGAAAAGAGAAGTTGTCCATCCATCAGCCACATGCAGGCATTCCACAGCGCGTCGCCACCCATAGGATGCGCCGCCCATGCAGAGTAGGGAAGGCCGTCAACACCAGGAGCAGACGAAGATGGCGCAAGCCGTCGCAGAACACGACCAAGCAACGAACGATTGGGCGGAGGGATATCTTCATAGTGTCCAGGCTGTACGAATTTGTCGACATCAACACGCATAGCATTGGGGAACACTGCAGGTGGCGCAGGCACAGGAGCCCAGTATGCCGCCAAGGCGTCCAACTTGTCCATCGCATCCGTGTGTGCACAGTTATTCACGGAGATGGCCCGCAGCGTCAGCCTCTTCCCAAACGGCGCCCACGGGCGCGCCTTGCGAGACTTCGCAGCAAGGGCCCCAGCGGGAGGCCGAGCACGCCCCACTGCATGACGTGCCGCATGCTGAAGCTCCTCAAGCTCATGATCGGCAGCAGCTTGCTGAACAGTGTCGACCCAGGCCGAGAAAACAGCCGGCTGGGCCAGCCGCACCTGATGCCCAGTAATCCCAATACAGTTCCGAGCCGTCTCCGATGCATTGCAAACGCGCAAGGCCAACCGAACATCTTGACGCCAGACGGCCCTCGCCAGCTGTCGCGCAAACATCCTCTGCGCTTCGCGAGATCCAGGATCGTCGACCAGCAACTGATTGAGCGAGTCAAGCGCGGCCGCATTGACCAACTCCTTATATCGTTCCATCTGACGAGGAGGGGGGGGAGACAAGAACGCGTGCCGTTCATAGTCGAGGAGCCGCCCAAGTCGTTCGCAGAAGTCGGCCGGCTTGTAGATAGCAGGGGGCACTGTTTTGACATACTTCCTGCGTTGGCTCCTGTTGCTGAGCGTAACCCTGACAGCAGCATGATCAGAAACATCTCGATCAGACAACTCTTCAGGCGTGGAAATAACCGCCACAGCGTGTTGAACTTGACACGCAACCCACCCAGGTTCAGAAATTCAAACACGATCGATCTGCGCCACCGTCCTGGAGTCCCTGCAGACGTGAGTGGGGTCCTCTGAGGCAACCTCGACGAATGGCGAGAGCACTGAAAGCCAGAGCTTCATATGCGTTCTGGCATTGTTGGTGACCCTGAGATCACGCGCTTGGGCAGGATCCGCCAGGTCCAAGGCCTCATGTGCAGAAAAATTGAAATTCCCACAGACCACAACCATTCTCGAAGACGGAGCCGCTGCAGCCCAAGCATAGTCTTCCTGAATACGTTGCGTAACTTGTAGCACATCTCCCCGCTCCAGTCCGTGATTGTGAACATTGTAATGCCGAAGTTCAACGTGCCCACGACGGAGAACCAGGCGCAATGCACGTCCAGGAATAAGATCGAGCGGAACAGCGACAACATCCCCATCCTGTGCAAGCGGAACAACCGTTGCCACGCCACCACGCCTGTGGCCATCTCTCTCCAGTTCAAATGAACCAAACACCGAGGACGATGGAGCAATCCTCGACATGACGAACTGGAACTCTGCCAAAGTTTGGTGCACCTCTTGAATGGCAAAGATGGCGCTCGTGATGCCAGCTTGATGAAGGTAGTTGGCTTTGGCCATGGCTTGTGCCCCACGCCACCTCAATAAGGCTCTCGCATTCCAAATGCAGAAGACGATTTGACCTGACTTCGGCGACATCCCACCTTCAACCTCTGAGCGAAAGAGGCCGTCGTACTGGCTAAAGACTCCACTCGGGCTCGCCATTGGGGGTGATGATGTTGGTGATGGCAGCCTTGATCTCGTCCCTGGTCCATCCCCTCGTAGCAAGCGCCGCATCATTCCAATAACATTTTGTCGCCTCCTGTCCTGGCTGCGGCTCAAGACGAAGAATCGGGTTCCAGCTTTCAGAGATCCACCCATTCTGGCGATCGAAGAACAGCTTTGCGTCAGGGTACTTCTCTCGCAGGACGGCCGTGATCTTCTTCCCAGCAATCTCACGCTTGATCTGGAACGGGTTCTTGTCGGCACCAACGTGCAGCTGCGTGGACCCTCCAGAAGCGCCAGGAACGGGAAAGCGCATCCAGTTGCCTTTGCCAGGCAGTCGAAGTGCACCAAGGGCCTGCACTGCGCGTCGACCCGCGACAGCGACAGGGCCTGTGAACTGCAGCGTAAACAGCCGATCTTGCTCTTCTCCCTGAACTTCCCATCCTTCAATTTTGGACTTGTCCAGCCAGGCCTTGATGGAGTCGTGGACATCTTTACGCTTGACCATAGAGGAAGCCACAATCTTGAGCACCGTCGCGTCCACTTCTCTGTGAAATCCAGCTGCTGGAGGCTTGGGCGGTGGCGGGGCACGATGTGCGAGCGCCAAGGCATTGCGCAGCTCATCCATTTGCTTGTGCATGCCCCCAAGCTCATCATGCATCTTCTCAGTGCGTGAATCCAAGCTGGAGACTCTGGCATTGAGACCGTCAAGCTGTGTCTGGAACCGCCGCTCCATCGCAGCCAGCTCGGGACGAAGTGAGGCCTCCACCTTCTGCTGGCACGTGGCTGGGACGCTCTTGACGGCATCCTCCACAGTACGGATTGCGGCCATGACAGGGTCGACGGCCTGCGTGGCAGCAACGGACGCTGTCGAGGCGACCATTCCAGTGATCTCATTCTTGAAGGAGGCGAACGTGCTGCGGAGGTGGCCATCGATGAGGCCCTTGACATGGTCGTCCCAACCGGTGGGGTCCATGTCTGGATCGTTCTCTTCATCGGAGCCGCATCTGCTGGAACGGGACCGTTCGTCGGCACGACCATCGCCTGCCTCAGCACCGTCATCAGCAGGACGAGCCCCACTGCCGCGAGCGTCACCAGGGAGCTTCTTCTTCTTTCGCCGTCCACCAGGAGCAGAGGGCGCCATGAGCCACGAGCGCCGCGCACGGGCGGAGGGGCAGCGCGCGCGGCGGAAACTGGCCGCGGACTAGCGATATCCATTCCCTGCTTGCGCAAAGCAGGCATCTTGAGCCAAAATGGCTACGGAAGATCAGGAGGAGGAGGAGGAGAAGGAGGAGGAGGAGGAAGGCGGCAGAGGACGGGAACGAACTTACTGGAGGGAAGGGATCGGCGGGGGAGGATGCAGTCGACCAGAAAGAAGAGCGGTCGACCAGCTCCTCCTCCTCCTCCTCCTCCTCCCCCTCTTCCTCCTCCTCTTCCTCCTCCCCCTCCTCCTCCTCCTCCTCCTCCTCCTCCTCCTCCTCCTCCTCCTCCTCCCAAAGGGGGCGCAACACTCGCGAGGGCGAGGAGCCGAGCATGGGCAGCATAAGGAACTCCCGGTCGCAGGGCGCCCCGCCCTTGTGGCCCCGGCAGCAACAAGTGAGGTCTCCGTGGAAGACCTGCCCGCACGCCGGGCGCCCAGGAGCGGGGGACGAGGTGGAGGATATCCGGGCCCCCCAAACCATGTGGTGACGGACCGCGTGGTGACCTCGGAACCCCCAACGACCTCACCGCGCGGTCCGTTACCGCACTGTCTTGGGACCTCTGGGGCCCCAGTCGCCCGAGACATCCTGGGAGAACGACTGATGTCCCAAAACCGGTTGGGACCTCCTGCCTAGCGTGTCGCGGCGGCGGCCCTGGCGCCACGCTATGCCCTGCAAACGGATAGCTTGCCGAGGCCATGGGCCGTCGAGTGCGTTCCGATGGCCGCAAGGGGCCGTCCCGATGGCAGCCGATGGCCGCCGAGAGCCGCCGATGGCCTCCGAAGGCCGCCGACGGCCTCGGGCCTCAGGAACACACACACACACACATGGCCAACCTAGACACATGGAGCACATCGTGGAGGACACTCGCTCGATACACTGGCAGAGGGCTGGCGTACCCTGCCATGGACGGGCCAAACGATGAAAAGACATCCAGCGGCCATATGTTTATTTAGCTCTCGTACAGGCCGGAAGCGTCATATGGCCGATTCCGATAACGCTGAACAAAACATCATCGACCCACGAATCTGGAAAGGGGTATGGAAATGTGAGGCATGGCAACGTTTTCAAGACACCTGATTGGGCGACGGGCAATTGCAATGCTGAGTGTATCGATCTTGGTGTACCATGCCCAGGGCTGTGCTGTGCTGTGTCGTGCTGAACTGCGATGTGCCATGCCGCGTTTGTGCTCTATAGCGTTGTGGATCGAGTCCTCCTTGACATTCGAGTCCTGACCGAACTGATCTGGATCTTAAGCTCGAGCTGTCTGAGCACATAGCAGCCGCCCCAGAGCAATTTGAAGTGGAATCGTGGAAGACATTCAATCAACTCGACCTCAAAATCGGACTCAGCTCTGAAAAGGAACAACACGACACAGGGCACAGGCTCACGGACGCGCTACAGGATGTGCCAGGGGCGCAAGAGGGGATGCGCCAGGGGACGTGTCAGGGGACGCATCAGGGGACGTGCCCTGGACGTGTTAGGGACCTGCCACGGGACGTGCCAAAGCGCATGCTATGGGACGGCCAGAGGACGTCATGCCAAGGGACGTCGCAAGGGGCCCGTCACGGAAAGGGCAAGGGAAACGCCTGGGGACGAGCAAGGAAACGCGACAGAGGACGAGCCAGGGAACGTGCCACGCCGAGTCGTCGCAAGGGACGCGCCAGGGCGCACGCCAGGGCGCCAGGGGACGCCCCACGGACGGGCGGGGTTGGACTGCGACGCACTCTACTGCGACAAGCACGTGAAACCAAGCGTCTCGCTCGAGACGTTCTCAACACCTTCTAATGCTAGACATCTGCCTGAGCGACCTGGACACGTGAAACTAACCGTCTCGCTCAACACACCCTCAACACATTCTCATGCTAGACATCCGCCTGGGCGACCTGGACACGCAAAATTGAGCGGTTCGCTCAAGACATTCTCCGAACATCTTTATGTTAGACATCCGCCTGGACGACCTGGGCACGTGTAACCAAGCGTTTCGCTCAACACATCCTCGACACATCCTCATGCTAGACATCCGCCTGAGCGACCTGGACACGTGAAATCAACCGTCTCGCTTGAGACAGCATCAACACATCTTCATGTTAGACATCCGCCTGGGCGACCTGGGTACGTGAAAACAAGCGTTTCGCTCGAGACCTTCTCAACACATCCTCATGCCAGACATCCGCCTGGGCGACCTGGACACGTGAACACAAGCGTCTCTCTCGAGAGAGACATCCTCAACAAATCGTCATGTTAGACATTCGCCTGGACGACCTGGACACGTGAAAACAAACGTTTTGCTCAACACATCCTCAACACATTCTCATGCCAGACATCCGCCCGGGTGACCTGGGCGCGTGAAAACAAGCGTTTTGCTCGAGACCTTCTCCACACATGCTCATGCTAGACATCCGCCTGAGCGACCTGGACACATGACAGCAAGCGTCTCGCTGGGGACATCCTCAACACATCCTGACGTTCGACATCTGCTTGGGCATCCTGGACGCGTGAAACCAAGTGTCTCGCTCGAGAGATCCTCAAGACCTGGGCACGTGAAAACAAGTATTTCACCTGAGACATCCTTTGAATTATGAGCCCTAGGAGAGGAACGATCTATAGCACAAAACAAACGTTTCGCTCAAGAATTGTTCAACACATTATGCACAACAAACATTTCGCTCGAGACATCCGCAACAAACGAAAAATGCGTACTGTACCCTGTGTTTTTTTTTCAATCGGAATGTCAAGAACCAACTTTTCGGTCGGGACATCATCAAATTGTAATCCGCCGGCCCTCTTCGACCTTGTTATTTATCAAGGAAAGAATCCACCGGCCCTCTTCGAACGTGGCACAGGGAACAAGTTACCACACTGAACGAGAACCCTGGGCTCAGGCCCTTTCCAGGAAAAACGCTGGCATCTGTTTGGGGCACATCTTTTATTTCCACCGCCTTCCGCCAGCGGAAGCGGCCTCGTTTTACTTCCGCCAGCTTCCGCTGGCTTTCCGCCGAGGAAGAGATGCCAACTCCTTCGGTTCTCGAAGACAGGGCCCATCTGGAACACCCAATATGTATCCAGCTTCCTGGCATCAGCGACGAGGAGGGAGGGTTGAGGGAGACGGGGCGAAGGGGTGCGGGCAACGGGAGAGGGGCGAGGGAGGTAGAGAGCGGAGCTGGGGGAGCGAATGATGAACAAGTCCGATCTCGAGCGCGACATTGGTGATCCTTGCCTCGTGCAATTGCGCAGCGAGTCTGGTGTTCTGCGTACTGATATCTGCCACTGTGGCATACTCTGGATGCATGAGAATCGGGGGGGGAGTGGGCAATAACGAAAGAGCAAGCGTCCCCATCCCTCCCAACCACCCCTCAACGCGTGTCCAAAAATTGAGCTTCAAAACTGCCATCCCCCCCACCCCCCTATCCCCGACGGCACGCGCCCGGCCCTCATCCCCCCCCTCTGGAACCCAAGGGCGGGGCGATTATAATGCCATCTGGAGTAGGTACTGAGTGGAGTGCCCTCCCTCAGGTCCCCTTCGAATTCTGCATCTGCTCTCGAATGGGCCCAGAACTCAAATTCCCCGAAATCTCGGGCGCTTCCAGGCACTGCTGCGGCCGTCCCAGGGGTCCGGGCTGGAGCCCTCTTGGAGTCCTCTCGGGCTGTCTTGGAGGCCCTGGGGGCCAGCAGCCAAATCACTGAAAAGCTACTGTTTTGTATGACTTGTGTGCCCTCATCTTCTTTCGGTCATCAGAATCTCCAAGGCGGCCCAAGCGGCCCCCAAGATCACCCTAAGACGGCCCCCGAGCATCCAAGTGGGGCCCAAGAAGCCCCCAGGGCTGCAGCAAGAGGGGCGAAAGAGGGGGTGCTCGAACTGGCATGTCGAGCTTTCAGCCCCAAGATGGCCGCCGAGACCGCCAGCAGGCCCCAAAGACGCGCCCAACAAGCTCCCAAGAGGCCGCCAGGAAGCCTCCAATAACACCCCAGTAGATTCCAAGACGCCTCCAAGAGGCCCCCAAGAGGACCCCGAAGAGACCTGCCGAGAGAGCCCAAGTCTCTCAGAGGCCTCCCGTCCACGACCAAAGCACGGCGGTGGGATGGGCTGAAGACCACTGGACGCATGATACCGGACTTCGATGGAATCAACTCGGCGCACACTCATGGATTATATCCCCGTCACTCTTCAACAGAACTGAACACTGAACTGTGCTATCGAGAAAGCTTCTGTAACACTTGATATCAAGCACTGCTGCACAATGTTGCCAAGCTGGATGTTGAGCGCGGCGAAACAACAATCGTAAACATAGTCTTGAAATACCGACTTCTGCTGTCGTCATGGCATCCAACATGATCGACCCACGAACACGAACCCGGAAAAGGACTGAGAATTGTGAGGCATGGAAAAGGCAATTGGGCGATGCCAGGGGGGCATGCCAGGAGGACGCGCCGCGGAACGTCCCAAGGGACGCGCCAGCGGACGTGCCAGGGGAAGTGCCATGGGAACGCACCGCGGAACGTGCCAAGCAGACGCGCTATGGAACGTGCCAGTGGACGTGCCATGGGACGTGCCAGGGGACGCGCCGCGCGACGCGCCAAGGGAACGCGCCACGGAACGTGCGAGTTAACGTGCCAGGCGACGCGCCAAGGGACGCGCCAAGGAACGCATCAAGGAGCATGCCACGGCACGTGGCACGGGACCGCGCTCCCTGGAAAGCTCCTTGTGCTTGCTTAAAAAAACGTGGCTTGCCCCCCCCCCCCCCCCCCAGCCCTGCCCCCTAGACACCGCGGAATCAGAAAAGGGCAAAGCACGGCGGACCTATGAACGAAACCATTACGACGGGACCGCGCTCCCAAAGCCACGATCTCTTATTAATTACGCTGCGTCCGCTGTCCCTGGGCTACGATCCCTCGTATACTGCGCTGCGTCCGCGCTCCCCAGACAACGATCCATCGTAAATCACGCGGCGTCCGATCTTTCGTAAAGTAAGCGGGAGTCACGCTCTCAAGGCCACGGTCCCTCGACAATGAAACTGGACTCGCGCTCACAAGGCAACAATCTATCGGAAATTATACAAGATTCACGCTCCAGGGCCAGGGTCCGTCGAAAATTTTGGGTTCGCTCTTGGAGGCCACGATCCCTTGTCAAATACGCTGGGTTCGCGCTAAATTACGCTGCGTCTGCTCTCCCTGGGCCACGATCATTTGTAAATCATTCTGCGTCCGCGCTCCCAGGGCCGCGCTCCCTGGTGAATTACGCTGTGTCCGCGCACCCAAGGCCACATCCCGGTCAATCTTTTTTCTGTGTTCGGGCTCCCAGAGCCACTTTGGCATCCTGTGGCGCCCAGGCCGCTCACGTTCTGCAAAGCAAGCGGTTCGCTCGAGACATCCTCAGAGATTCGGCGCGCAGGGCTCGCCATCCTCGAGCGGGCACGTAAAAGGTTTACAGTTTTCCTTTACTGACGAATTTCACAGCCTCCAGACCTCGTGTTTTAACGCGGATTCTGCGCAAAACGCTCCGCACCCTGTTTCTTTTTAACAGAGAAGGAATCGAGTCCTCCTTTGCATCCGAGGCCTGGCCGAACTGATCTGGATCTTCAGCTCGACCTGCCTCAGCAAATGGTAGCTGCCCTAGAGCTAATTGACAGGGGAACATGCCAGGAGGATGCGCCGCGGAACGTCCCAGGGGACGCGCCTGGCGACGTGCCAGGGGACGTGCCACGGGGACGCACCGCGGGACGTGCCGAGGGGACGCGCTACGGAACGTGCCAATGGACGTGCCACGGGACGTGCCAGGGGACGCGCCGCGCGACGTGCCAAAAATTGACAAAGCCAAGCCAAAAACAAAAAAAACAGATAAAACCATAAAACATGAATAAGAACAGAAAATAATACATAAAAAGAAAAAAACAACGAACCAACAACCAGCCAGAGAAAAACAAAAAAGAAGGGGGGGGGGGACTCGCCACATGACGCGTCACGGAACATGCCAAGAAACGTGCCAAATTGCAATGCTGAGTGTATCGATATTGATGTACCGTGCCGAGGGCTGTGCCGTGCAGCGCCGTGCTGAATTGCGATGTGCCATGCCGCGATTGTGCTCTATAGCGTTGTGGATCGAGTCCTCCTTTGCATCCGAGTCCTGACCGAACAGATCTGGATCTTCAGCTCGCCCTGCCTCAGCAAATGGTAGCTGCCCCAGAGCTAATTGACAGGGGAACATGCCAGGAGGACTCGCCGCGGAACGTCCCAGGGGACGCGCCCGGCGACGTGCCAGGGGACGTGCCACGGGGATGCACCGCGGGACGTGCCGAGGGGACGCGCTACCGAACGTTAAAACACGTGGTCCTTGCTCGGGACAACCATGTTAGATATCCCCCTGGATGGCCTGGACACCTGAAAACACATGGTGCCAGCTAGGGAAACCATTGTAGATACACCCCTGAATAGCCGGGACATGTCAAAACACGTGGTGCTTGCTCAGAACAATCATGTTAGATACCCCCCTGGGTGGCCTGGATACGTAAAACACGTGGTTCAAGCTCGGGACAACCATGTTAGATATCCCCCTGGGTGGCCAGGACATGCAAAAACATACGGCTCCAGCTCGGGACCACTATGTTAGATACCCCCTGGGTGGCCTGCACACGTAAAAACACGTGGTCCAGCCCACCCAAGGGGGTATAACATGCGGTCGTCTGGAGCGCAGGAGGGCCCAGGAACGCCCAGAGGCGCCTGGAGGCCAACATGATGGACCCACGAACCCCGAAAGGGGTATAGACATGTGCAGCATGGTCACGCTTTCACGATACCCCAACTGGCGAACACTCACGAAACATTCCACGAGACCCCGCCACCCCGCGAACATCCCACGAGACACCCCACGAAAACATTCCACGACGACCCTCACGAAACATTCATCCACGAGAACACCCCGTGAAACAATCTACCAGACACCCCACGAAATGCAACCACTCACCAGACCCCCAGAAAGCGTCCACGGGGTGCGACTGGGTGTTGTCGTGCTGGGTGTGGTCGTGTGCTGGTTTGTGGTCGTGCTGGGTGTGGTCGTGCTGGGGGGTGGTCGTGCTGGGGGGGTGGTCGTGCTGGGGGGTGGTCGTGCTGGGGCGTGGTCTCGCTGGGGCGTGGTCGTGCTGGGGCGTGGTCGTGCTGGGGTGTGGTCGTGCTGTGGTGAGGTCGTGCTGGGGTGTGGTCGTGCTGGGGTGTGGTCGCGCTGGGGTGTGGTCGTGCTGGGGTGGGGTCGTGCTGGGGTGTGGTCGTGCTGGGGTGTGGTCGCGCTGGGGTGTGGTCGTGCTGGGGTGGGGTCGTGCTGGGGTGTGATCGTGCTGGGGTGTGGTCGTGCTGGGGTGTGGTCGTGCTGGGGTGAGGTCGTGCATTTCGCTCGAGACATCCTGCCAAAATTCAAGGACATCCTAAAAAAACAAACGAATTAGTCGAGACAGCCTCGAAATTCCTGCGCGCGGGACGCGGCACGCGCGAGACATCCTCGGATTTCCTGCGCGCGGGGCGCTTTTCCGCGTCGCGGTCGGCTCTGCAAAACCAGCGTTTCGCTCGAGACATACTCAACAAATTCTGAAAATAAGCGTTTCGCTCGAGATATCCCCCAATTTTGCAAAACCAGCGCTTCGTTCGAGATATCCTCAGTAAATTCTGAAAAACAAGCGTTTCGCTCGAGACATCCTCAAAATTGAATCCGCCGGCGCCCTTCGACATGATATTTATCACAGAAAAAATCAGCCGGCGCCCCTCAGTTGAGGCACCGGGGACAAGTTTACCTACTAAAAGAGAACCCTGGGCCTACGCCCTTTCCGGCAAAAAGTCAACGAATCGATACCAAATACAACTAAGCTCTCGACGTTCCGTTCCGAGTCCCAGGATGGATCCAGGAGGCCCATGTTAGATACCACCTGAGTGGCCTGGACACGTGAAAACACGTGGTTCCAGCTCGGGACCACCATGTTCGATACTCTGGACAGCCATGTTAGATACCCCCATGGGTGGCCTGAACACGTTAAAACACGTGGTCATTGCTCGGGACAACCATGTTGGATACCACCCTGGGTGGCCTGGACACGTAAAAACGCGTGGTGCCAGCTCGGGACAACCATGTTAAACAATTCCCCCCTGAATGGCCTGGACATGTCCAAAGACGTGGCCCTTGCTCGGGACAGCCATGTTAGATCCCCCCTGGGTGGCCTGGACACGTAAAAACACGTGGTTCCAGCTCGGGACAACCATGTTCGATACATCCCCTGCGTGGCATGGATACGCTGAACTCGCGCTCCCGCCGCGACATCCTCGCAATGGAGAGGCCCCCAACGCGCCACCCCTGTCCAGAGCAAGACAACATGATTGTTATGAAGCGTGATATGTGTTCGGGTAGCGCTTGTCTGCCCTCCGTGCGTTTCCTGATAATTCGGCGTTGGGCCCGACGCCATGTTAGATACCCCCCTGGGCGGCCTGGACACGTAAAAACATCTGGTTCCAGTTCGGGACAATCATGTCAGATACCCCCCTGGGTGGCCTGGACACGTAAAAACATATGGTTCCAGCTCGGGGCCACCATGTTAGATACCCGCTTGGGCGGCCTGGACACGTAAAAACATTCGGTTCCAGCGCAAGACCACCATGTTAGACACCCTCCTGGATGGCGTGGACACGTAAAAACATTCGGCTGCAGCGCAGGACCACCATGTTAGATACCTCCTGGGTGGCCTATTCACGTGAAAACACTTGGTTCCAGCTCGGGGCCACCATGTTAGATCCCCCCCTGGGTGACCTGGACACGTGAAAACACCTGGTTCCTCAGCCCACCCAGGGGAGATTTCTAATGTGAAAACAAACATTTCGCCTGAGACATCCTCTGAATTCTGGCCCCCGACAAAACTCCCGCTCGAGACACCCCCCAACTCTGCAAAATCAGCGTCTCGCCTGAAAAATCCTCAACAAATGTACATAAAACACGCGTTTCGCTAGGGACATCCTCAATTGTTCCACGCCGAATGAGACTTTACATTCTTATTAATCGCGCATAATTTCGCTGGCCGAAGCCAAACACGCGTTTCGCTAAGGACATCCTCAATTTTTCCACGCCGAATGGGATTTTGCCTGATCATTTATGGGACATAATTTCGCCTGCCGAAGCCAAACATGTGTTTCGCTAGTGACATTCTCAATTTTCCCATGCCGAATGTGACTTTACCTGGTTATTTTTCGCAAGCAATTCCGCTGGCGAAAACCGGAGGGAAACAACAACTAAACGAGAACCCTGGGCCCACGCCCTTTCCGGGAAAAAGTCTCGTCCACACTATCTATAGAAGCCGACCCTCCAGAGATCTTCTTCGGACCCGTATAAATTCTTGTAAGACCTCTCTGCGTCGAGGTGGTCGCATACTGCCAGCATGCTGGACAATCAATGATGGGTTCTGAATCGGGAACCGAATTCTGGACAACGCAATGCTGATTGACTCGCCAGGGCTGGACGCCTCTGTCTATCGACCACCGGTGAACAGGGTGGAGCACGGGCTTTGGGGCTGAGGTGCCTATGTCACGGGGCACAACTCAAGGCGAATCCAAGAAACAAATCAAATCGGACCAAGACAAATCAAGGATCTCTGAGATCCGGCGGCTCTGGAGAGCGTTCCGGAACGCTCTAGAACGACTTATCCTGGTCCTGAGCCCGCCCGACTTCTTGCCCTGGCGCCACCTGTATTGCCTCCAGGAACTCATCGGTGGGGCTGGACGGCGCCATTGGCTGCAGGGGAGCAGCATTTCAGATGGCAGGAAATCCTCTCGATAAGCTGCCCTGACCTCTACCGACTCACCCCCTTCCCCCCTCCCCTTCCCCTCCCCCTTTTCTTCCCCTCCCTCCCCTTTCTTCGCCTCCCCTCGCCTCCCCTCCATTGCACTTCATCCCCCCCAATGTCAGCCACCTGCTCCGCTGCCTCACCAACGTCTTCTGCAACCATGTCTGGCTGTCTCCGCCTCTTGCTGCCGATACTGCTCCTGTCTCGCTGCGGTATCTCGGTCACCTAACTTCGCGTATCGCGCCCCGCGATGCGCGACGCGCGGCTATCTTAGCGCCCCCGCGAGGCCGCCTCTTCAACCCAGGCCGCGACGCGCGAAGCGCGATGATCTTCGCGCCCCTGGAGGTGCCCAAGTGTACAGTTCTCAACACGGTGAGAGCCGAACGCTCTGCCAAGCCTCTGCCCTCGCCGAAGGTGCCTTAGGCCCCACAATACAGCCCCGCAGGGTTTTGTCGCCAAAATCTGACCCATGAATGCTGATCCACGTCTAGGGGGCCACATGCGAGCCCTACCCCTACCCCCCACGATTTCTGAGGGGGAGGGTTCGCATGTGGCCCCCTAACGTCGCCGCCCTCCTCTTTCTGTGCTGCCTTCCTATCCCCCACCGACTAGACTATCTTTTTCGCTTGCATGGGGTAGGCAAAATAATGCAGCATAGACTCGTCCTGTACGTTGTACCACTCAACATCTCAATGCACCGCCGTTGAACGTGCCATCAAACCAGCCCAGCACCGAAGAGTCGCGGTGCTTGGAGATATACGCGCACCCGCTTACGAAGACTCATCTGCCTAGCTGTTGAGCATTATGTGCGCTCGCCGTGCCATGACGACAAGGCTTGAAACACGCTTTCACAAGGCACGAATGCAATGTTGCTCTAAATTGTGAGATGTCCTCTTGCCTACTGCGCCACAAAGCCACAGCGGCTCCCACACAAGATTTCCAGATGCCAGCGCTGATAAGCACGCCATGTCAGCTCGTTGGCTACAGTCGTGCGAGCGCGCAAGCAGACACCACTGAGCATCCGCACGCATGACAGGCACACAGAAACGCATCGTTTTTCGCCAAACTCGGATTGTGACTGAAAGCCCTCGGAGCATACATCCGCTGTGGAGACTGCTGCACGTTGGCAATTCGATGTGACCAGGCGTGCACGCGCAACAATGGATAAGACAACCATGGCTTAATAAGCCAGGTATCACAACAACTCAGAAGACTAGCCATTCGATCCTGTGAGAATTCACCAAGCCGCGGCACAGCCGCAGGAGGACGAGAAGAGGCCTGACCTTCTTGGGCTCATCCTGAGAGTCTGAGCCCTGCGCCTGCACGGAGATGCCAAGATCGCATTAGTGGGCGGCGTAAGCCTTGTTTTGCCTCTCCGTACGTCTACTTCTTCGCAAGGCCCCTGGGGCCTGACCCCCGCGCCCGCCAAGATTTGCTCTTGCTGTTTTTTTGTGCGGGAGCCCGCGGGTGCGCACACCGACCGGAATTTCGCCAGCATCACTCGCGCAATTTCCATCGCTGGCGAATGCATCGAAGAAGAATGGGAAGGCAAGAAGACGAGAGCAGATCAAGCCAGGCTCGTCATCTCGTTTCTCGGGCTGCTCGGGCGATGCTTCTCCATATCTCCCGAAACCTTCGCGGGGCTTCCAGGGGCCTGGGCCGTGCGCCCGCCCGGAAATGTCATAACCGCACTGCGGGACAGCTCGAGCCTCGTTCTTGTGCTATCCAATGCGGCAGGCTTCCTGAGCTTCCACGGGCCACGGGAACATCCCAGACGACGAAATTTGACGCCTGAACAATTTTCGGACCCCATTCCGCGAAAGACTTTCAGTCCGAACAGCAAAACGCATGGGCTGATACGATTTTCCATCTTCCTTAAGCAGTGCCGCGGCTGTCGAAGCATCGGGTCCCTGGGCGAACAACTAGCCAACACTCCGCCGCACGTGGCAACAATACATTCACGGCTGACATGATGTCTGCAATTCCTGCGAGCTTAGAACTCTCTCTCTCTCTCTCTCTCTCTCTCTCTCTCTGAAACCAAGCAGAAGACCAGCCAAAACTACAAAATACGCGGCGCACAGGGAGCGAACGACGGGTGGAGAAAGGTAAGAGGATGAGGGCCCCTCGTCGGAACTGATAAAATTTGCGTGCGAGGGTCGATTCAAACCAGATCCGCTGTGGTCCAAATCCGACGCGCTCGCTTCCTACTCCAGAAGAGCGCGCATGTCGCAGGCATCTGCCAAAGATGCGAAAGAGACACCCAGAGGCCCCGACAAGCGAGTGTGAGCCACAGCGCACTTCTAAAGTCGAGACAACGTGGGGCACGGAGGAGACTCAACAGCAATGACAGGAGCGGCGACTGACGCACTCCAGCGCAAGCATGGGTGTTGGCACAGAGTGGAGGGGACCCGTCTTCGGCGCGCCGACGGGCGGCTGACGCTCCTTCGCACAGAAACTGGAAGGGGTCAGCATGCGGAGGCACGGCGGCGAGCAGCCATAATGCACGCACCTGACGGGACAAGCCCAGACGACGCGAGGATGGGAGTTAGCTGACAAGCACATTCAGTAAGCAAGCTCGATTCACCGAGGACAGAACATAATCGACCCACGAACCCGGAAAGGCATTGAGAAGTGCGAGGCATGGAAATGTTTCTAAGGACCTCAATTGCATATGCAATTGGGCGATGCCAGGGGGACATGCCAGGGGGACGCGCCACGGAATGTCCCAAGGTGCGCGCCAGGGGACGTGCCAGGGGACGTGCCACGGGACGTGCCAGGGGACGCGCCACGGAACGTGCCAGGGAACGTGTCAGGCGACGCGCCAGGGGACGTGCCAGGGAACGCGTTAAGGAACGTGCCACGGGACGTTCCTGACCCAGGGCAAGGATCCATCGTAAATTACGCTGCGTCCGCGCTCCCAGGGCCACGATCCCTCGTAAATTGCTCTGCGTTCGCTCTCCCCGGGCCACGACCCCTCGTAAACTACGCTGCGTCTGCGCTCCCAAGGCCGCGCTCCCTCATGAATTACGCAGTGTCCGCGCTCCCAGGGCCACGATCCCTTGTAAGTTACGCTGGGTTCGCGCTTCCAGGGCCAGGATCGCTGCAAAACAAGCGTCTCGCCTGAGATATCCTCTGAAATACGGTACACAGGGTGCGCTATCCTCGAGCTGGCACGCAACAAACAAACAGCTCCATATTCTTTAATAACGACTTTGAGGGTCTCCATACCTTGTGTTTTATAGCTCCGTCCTGGGGCTAATGCCCTGAGGCGAAAGGACCCACGTGATTTCACGCTTGCCGCGCTCTGGAGCGAGAAGGACCCACGTGTTTTCAGACTTGTCCCGCCCAGATGCGAAAAGGACTGGAACGAAATGGACGGCGTGATCTTTACTAGGGATCGTAGCCAGGTGGGACAAAAACATGTAACTGGCATTGAAGCGAGAGCACGATTCCTGAATCAATTGTAAGATCCACCGCAACTTTACTATGGAAAATGCACCCCCTCTTCCTCCGGAACCCGGGGTTCCCCCCCCCTCCGAAGATCCCCCCCCTGCTCGAACCTCCCCCCTTCCCCCCCCCCTTCCCCTGGCAACCTCCCCCCCTAACTCCTCCCCCCGCTTCTCCTGAAAACTGGGGGGGGTCACTACCAGTTCGAACCCCCCTCTCCCCCCCTCCAGAAAACTGGGGGGTGGGTCACTACCAGTTCGAACCCCCCCCTTCCCTCGCCAGCGGCAAAAGACTCCCGGGTCCCCTCCACTGTCCTCACAACCGCCCTCACCACTGTCCCGACCACCACCGTTCCCACCACTGTCCCACTGTCCCCACTGTTCCCACCACTGTCCCCACTGTCCCCACCAATGCCCATACCACCGTCGTACTGTCCCCACCGCGGTCCCACTCTCCCCACTGTCCCCACCACTGTCCCACTGTCCTCACCGTCTCCACCACTGTCCCACTGTCCCCACCAATGCCCGCCGCTGTCCTACTGAGCTGTCCCACTGTCCCCACCACTGTCCAACTGTCCCCACTGCCCCCTCCATTGTCCCCACTGTACCACTGTCCCATTGTCCCCCCACCGTCCTCACCACCGCTTTCACCATTGTCCCCACCACCACCGCCCCCACCATTGTCCCACTGTTCCCTCACCACTGTCCCCACAACCCTCGTCCCCACCACTTTCCCACTGTCCCCACTGTCCCCACCGCTGTCCCACTGTCCCCACTGTTAACACCACTGCCCCCACTTTCCCCATTAATCCAGAAGCCGCATTAAAGTGATCATTTCCCCCCTCTGTGACAGAGGGGGTGTTTTTCGGACCCCCTCTGTGACAGAGGGGGTGCGTTCGGAGGCCCTCTGTGACAGAGGGGGTGCGTTCGGAGGCTCTCTGCGACAGAGTTGCTCGTCATCCCGTTCCTCCTCATCCTGCTTCTTGATTTCGGATATGTCATGCTACCACTGCGCTCATCATCTTTGCGTCTGTGATCCTCGTCGTGTTGTTCCATGCGTCCTTTTCACAATTTCCACCACATTATCCTCCGTTGCCGTTCTGGCCCGCCATCTACCTCGTCACTCTCCTTCGTCTGCATGTCCTTATTCTTTTCCGCTCTTTTTTCGCCTCCCTCTGGTTCGATTTCCGCTCTTCGTCCACTTCGTTCATTCGTTTCCAACCCCCCTTCCTTTCAAGTTCTCCGCCGTCCAATCACGTCGCGTCGTCCGCCGCCGCTATGCTCAAACCACCCCGCGCCCGTGGGATCGCCCGCGAGCACCGGTGCAGCTGGGCCCGTCGCGGCCTAACGCGCGCCTGCGCCATCGTCTTGCAATGGGCGATGCAGGCGGATACACATGGGATGGCGCGGGAGGATGGTGGGATAGCCGCAGCAGCGGCTGGCGTGGCTGGGAGGACGGCCATGATTGGTCAGCGAGGGGTTGGAGAGACTGGCGACAAGAC